TTGCGGATTTTCGATATAAATAAATCATACATTTCCGTTATCCGTTAGGGGCCAATTATCTCGGCGTGGAGGAATGCGTGCCTGGTCGAAATTATGAGTAGGCCTAGCCAAAATTGGGTCAAGTGTGGGGCTCAAAAATTGTGTGTGACAGACGGCCTATCGGTGGCCGACCGTCAGATTAAGCAGTATTATTAATCTTATTATTATCATTATTGTTATTATTATTAATATTATTATTATTATTATTATTATTATTATTATTATTATTAAAGATGAGGAATGAAGTGAGGGATGAAGCGAGGAATAAAGCGAGGAATGGAGAGAGGAATGAAGTGAGGAATGAAGTGAGGAATGAAGTGAGGAATGAAATGAGGAATGAAGCGAGGAATGAAGTGAGGAATGAAGTGAGGAATGAAGTGAGGAATGAAATGAGGAATGAAGTGAGGAATGAAGTGAGGAATGAAGTGAGGAATGAAGTGAGGAATGAAGTGAGGAATGAAGTGAGGAATTAAATAAGGAATGAAAAGGGGTGGAATGAAGTGAGGAATTAAATGAGGAATGAGGTGAGGAATTAAATGAGGAATGAGGTGAGGAATGAAGTGAGAAATTCACTGAAAAATGATCCGAGGAATTAGCAGCTGAAGAATGAAGTGATGAATGAACTGAGTTACAGTACCTGTGACTTAAGGAACGGAGGAATTAACTGTGGAATGCGTTGAATACATTAATTGGGTTCGTTTCAGTAGAACTTATTAATAAATAAATTATTATTTCAGCTCGAAAAATCCAATAGACTAAAAAGATTAAATTATCCGAAATTTCATCGCAACAAATATTTTAATGAAATGAGAATCTGTGGAAGAAAATAAGTGAAATCTCCTCATATATTCTAGCGGTGAAAACGTTTCATTGTAAACATAGATTAAATCAATAAAACATTGTTCATCATTAGATCAAACATTGGAAAATCTATTAATCCATCATTTAATTCTTTTCTTTCTCATATACAAAATAAATATTTTAAAGCCTTCTTTCATTATTAATATAATAACCAACCAGAAAAAGACATAATTCTTTGCTTTAACTAATAAAAAATATCTACAAGGTTTCTTTCGCTTCATGATTCGTAGCCTTCCAAATACTTTCTTTGTTCCTATGGCTTGTAAGCATTTGGTATCTGTTAGCATCTTCCTGAAAGCCTCCTTTTGTGACTTAAATCCAAACAAACAACCTCTTAAAAGCCTCCTGTTTCAAAATACCCACAAAAAAACTCTAATAACCTACGAATATTTTTTAAACTCCGAAACCAAACCCACACAAGCTTTATTTTGTACGGAAAATTTAAGGAGATTTTGTGAAAGCCTTTTTTTGTCTTAACGAACACTGGAGTGACTTTTCTTAATGAACACTGAATGGCCTTGTCTTAAGGAACACTGGAGTGGCTTGTCTTAAGGAACACTGGAGTGGCTTGTCTTAAGGAACACTGGAGTGGCTTATCTTAAGAAACACTGGAGTGGCTTGTCTNGAGTGTTCACCATCATGTTCATGGAGTGTTCACCATCATGTTCATGGAGTGTTCACCATCATGTTCATGGAGTGTTCACCATCATGTTCATAGAGTGTTCACCATCATGTTCATGGAGTGTTCATCATCATGTTCATGGAGTGTTCACATCATTTTCATGGAGTGTTCTCAATTCTGTATTAATGACGTGTTCTTCATCATGTTTCTGAACTGTTATAGAGATGTTCAATATGATGTTCATGGTTTGTTGACCCGCGCATGGCATTGTTTATATTTTGGACTCTAAACTTTATAAACATTTTAGTGGTCATAGAAATTGTTTCGAGATGACTGATGTGTGTAAAAGCTGCGTTCAACTTGTTCACCAATGTCCAGCAATGTCCAGCAATAACCTGCAATGTCCAGCATGACAAGGACATCGCTCGGCTATGGATTGCCAGAGATAAAAACCGATTTGGGTGCCCGATAAAGAAAACCGTCTGCCAGAAACTGATCGATTCCAACCGGCAGTCTGACGGCACAGTTAAACCCGGTTGAAAATCATGGCCGGTTTATGTGCGGCCGCGCATAATTCCCGACGGGAGAGAAGTTCAGAAGATGGGGTGTGTTTGTCGCTGTGTGGCGTCCCGGTGTGTTGGCTTAGCACAAAACACACAAAACACACGGGCCACACAGCGTGGGTCTGGCACTACACATTTGGCTTGCTTAGGATAAGAAATAGCGGGCTGTGTTGTGGGGAAGTAGTTTCAGCTCAGACATTAATAGCCCAAGACGCAAGGCATTAATAAAATTACAGCGTATAATAATTAAATATTAGATAATGATTACACCGTTATCTACTTAATAACATTATGACCTTAACAACATTCTGATGTTAACAACACTCTGATATTAAGAACATTCTGATGTTAACAACATTCTGATGTTAACAACACTCTGATGTTAACAACACTCTGATGTTAACAACACCCTGATGTTAACAAAACTCTGATGTTAACAACATTCTGATGTTTACAACACTCTGATGGTAACTACACCCTGATGTTAACAACATTCTGATGTTAACAACATTCTGATGGTAACTACACCCTGATGTTAACAAAACTCTGATGTTAACAACACTCTGATGTTAACAACATTCTGATGGTAACTACACCCTGATGTTAACAACACTCTGATGTTAACAACACTCTGATGTTAACAACATTCTGATGTTAACAACACTCTGATGTTAACAACACTCTGATGTTAACAACACTCTGATGTTAATAACACTTTGATGTTAACAACACTCTGATGTTAACAACACTCTGATGTTAACAACACTCTGATGTTAACAACACTNTACCATTCTTTTGTATATACGACTGCAGTCCCATCATATACCTGTGTTTTCGCTCCCTCCCCTCCCCTTATCTCCATGCCCCCCCTCAGGCCCCGAACCCGACGGGCTCGTCCCAGAGGGCTAGGGGTCCTACGACCAATCAACCACCACGACCTCGACTTCCATCATTATCATCACGTCATCCCCCCTCATCTTCATCAAACTTACCAAATCAACCGTCAACCTCTCATGAACGCTCGAGACCCCAAACCTACAGAATCCAACTTAAAAAAATTGACCCCAGACTCCCGACCGACCGACCTAAAATTTTCCAAACCACATTTAAAGAACTCGACGCTCCACTGATCCGACTCACCGACACTGCAACCGGTTTTTATGCCGTGACTGACGACGCTACAGCAATAGACAAACTGACATCAAAAAAAGCGACAGAAGCCTTCAGACAAATTAACCTGACCCCAATTGTACCGCCTGACCTACGAGCAAAACGGACCATTTTTGTGAGACAACTTGACAAGGACGTAGGTAGCCACTCAGCCGACGAAATCAAACACGAAATAACCACACAACAGAACTGGCTACATATACAAGACATCATTAAAATCAAACACTACACACACGTTATTAAAATCATTACCACCGACACCACAATAGCCCAACGCGTACTTACAAATGGCTTCTACATGTATAACACTAAAATTACACCATCACAGTGCCAACAAGAAGAATACACACACCTACTCATATGTTACAAATGCTACAAAATAGAAGACCACCCTACACATCAATGTACATCCACCCCTCCCCCCTTTCGCTTCTGCCAATCCTCACCCCCTCCCCTTCATCCCTGCCTCAATTTCTCTTCGCTACGCTCTTTCTGATTTTCTGAACGGTTTTTCCTTGTCATTCCTTCATCATTACTATTATTTGCCATCTTAATTACTTTTTCAATTCTGTCGCAAACGTTTGCTGGCTCTTCTTTTCTTTTTATTGTTTTTCTCTGTCATTTCATATGTCATTTGTATACTTTCCATAACTTTCTTTTATCCTATAATTTCCTATCTTATTTTCTTATCATATACTTAAAAAAAATGTTTCAGTCAAAATACATTCTGCTTGCCGTAAACTTTCATTCAGTCGCACTGTCGTCCCCTGCTCGCCAGTTTCGAGTTCCCAAACCCTAGCCTCCTCTAATCTCTCTAACATTCGCCTCCTCTCTTTCCCCAAATGCTCGCACCCTCTCTTCTACCTAACACTCTTCTCTTCATTTGCCCTAAACCCCGCCTCCTCTCTTCTGTCTAATACTCGCATCCTCTCATTCCCCATACCCTCGCCTCATTTTTCTCCATACCATTGCCTTTTCATTCCCCATACCCTCGCCTCCTCTCTTTCCCTAAATCCTCACCTTCTCTTTTCCCCAAACCCTCGCCTCCTCTCTTCTCCCAAATGTCGCTGTCTCTGTTCCTTTACCCTCGTCTTCTTTTTTCCCATACCCTCATCTTCTCTATTTTCCTCTAGTCGCTGCCTCACTACTTTTCCTCTACTCACTGCCCTCTCTTTTTTTTCCAGCTGCTACCCCCCACTCCCACTTGTCTCTCTCTAGTCCCAACTCACCCGTCAACCCTAGACACAGCCTCTTCCTCCCATACCTCCCCTTCCTTCTCTCGAATTCAACCTTCCCTCTTCACTCTTTTTACGGCCACTCTGCCCTAGGAAATTCAAGGAAATTCTATGCAATTGTTTGAAGACCAAAAGATGGGTTATCTATTGTTAACGATAACAACTCACATTCATTTCAGTTGCTGCTGATGCTCTGAAATTTCGTACTCTCAGTTCCAAATAAAATCCGTTGCGTATGATTCTATGAATGCACCTTGTAATTGATTATCCCATTCATTTCGATCCCAGCTAACGCTATGAGTGAACTTGTTGAATATTTTGAGTCTATCAATGTTCCTTAGGGTTGTTTATGTTTCTTTATAAACCTTTTCTTTTGTTCCTCATTTACCACTTCCCGTTCTGGAGTGTGGTTGGCAGCGTAAGTGTACGATAGCTTGAGCAAACGGGTTCGAGTGTGAGCGAGTCGCCGAGGCTGAGAGGCTCTCATTCTTCAGTTCATTTCGTGCTGTTCAAGAGTGAGGTTATGTGCCGCTCCTAGTTGTGCACTTCCTTGGTGTAGTTATGTTGCCTCAGTGGCTGCGAGAAAACTTATTGCTCGCTGCTACTGGTGGGCTGTGCATGAGGTGTTTAGTACCAATGCCACTATGAAATCAAATGGTATAATGTTGATAGTGCTGCTGGTGTTAGTAAAGGTGGTGTTATCCCATGGAGAGTGTCACAGTGCCGCGGCTGTCGTCTTCGAAGATCGCCATAGATCTGGCGAAGATCGGCAGCGATCAAATGACCGCACCCTCACTTGTACATTGCCTGTTTTGGCTCCGGAAGATCGAGTGGCCAATTTGAGTTATGAGGCTCCCGACAGCATAACAGATCTAAAAATTTCGTGTAATGGGGAACTGAGGCGTACGAGCGTCATTTCAGACTCGACTTTTGATGGCTTGAGTCGCCTGTCAAGTCTATCCATCGACTACTGTAAAGTGACTGAGCTCAGTGAGAACTCCTTCTTGCCTGTAGGCAACCTCAAGAACCTGACTTTGAGAACCCGAAATATCGAATTCACGTCGATGAGTCTTGCTGCTGTTCCAGGAATATTTTCACATCTCAGTCACTTAGAAGCGATAGATTTGAGCACCAACAGCGTTTGGGAGCTGCCGCCTGGCGTCTTCTGCGGCCTCGCGGCGCTGCGTAGCGTTACGCTCTCGTTCAACCATCTGCAAGATCTAACCCAGCTGGGGTTCGGAGGGGATTTGGAGAACACTTCATGTTCTTCAGAGTTAATTTACCTGGATTTATCTCACAACGACGTAGAGGTAGTGGCTTCAGGAGCCCTAAAAGGGCTTCCACATTTACAAGAACTCTACCTCAATAATAACCAGTTGGGGAAAGTTGACGATCTCGCTTTCGAAGGGCTCTCAGCGCTGCACACTCTCGACCTGTCGGGCAACAAGCTTGTAGCGCTGCCAGAAGATGCCTTCTTGCCCACTCCCCAGCTTATGTATTTTAGGGCTGGCAATAACTCTTTATCCGTCCTGGGCCCAGGCCTATTTAGAGGCCTACAGCATCTGGTAGAACTGGATCTCTCCCACAACGACATCAAAGCCGAGTGGCTTACAGAGTCCAGCTTCCAGGGCCTCATTCGCCTCATGGTGCTTAACTTATCTCATAATAAAATAAATAGGCTTGAAGTTCAGGTTCTTAGAGACATGTACAGTGTGCAGGTTTTAATTCTAAATCACAATCAACTAACTGAAATCCCTCCTTCCGCTTTCTCATCTTGTGTAAACTTACATAAACTCGATTTATCGCACAACAAATTGAAAGTAATAGAAGAGAAAGCGTTCGAAGGTGTTAACGTTCTTAGTTTCCTTGCACTGGACAACAACGAGATATTATCTTTGCATCCAAGAGCTTTCACTAATTTGACCGGCCTGCGAGACCTGAACCTCAACAGCAACCGGTTGAGTGTGGTCCCTGAGGCGATCATAAGTCTACGGTATCTCAACACCCTGGATCTCGGCCAGAATCTCATTACCAGTCTAGAGAACATGCCGGCTAAAGGTCTCGAGTTTCTCTATGGACTGCGCGTCGCCGAAAATAAAATCTCTGGGAATATTACCAAGACGACTTTCCACAATCTCCCCTCACTCAAAGTTCTGAACCTCGCCAAAAATGGCATCACTCACATCGAGGCTGGAGCCTTCGAAACTAATTCAAAATTGCACGCCGTGAGGCTTGATGGAAATTTACTAACTTCCATGAATGGACTTTTCGAAAATATCCCAAATTTAAAGTGGCTTAACGTTTCAGCAAACAACCTGGAGGTCTTCGATTACCATCTCATTCCATCTAGTTTATTATGGTTAAATTTGCATAACAATAAAATCCACGAACTTAGTAATTCCTTAGGCCGACATGATTTGAGCTTAGAAATTCTCGACGTGAGTTTCAACAAACTGAAGCACATCAGCAGCGTGAACATCCCAGACAGCGTGCACATGGTCTTCATGAACGACAACAAAATCACGACAGTTGAGCCCTTTACATTCTTCAAGAAAGTCAATTTAAGTCGGGTTGATTTATTCGCCAATAAATTAACGAGCCTCGAGATGACGGCGCTGCGTCTGTCCCCAGTGGCGCCAGAAAAGCCGCTGCCGCAGTTTTTCTTGGGCGGCAATTCTTTTCTTTGCGACTGCGAGATGGAGTGGCTGCAACGGGTCAATAACCTGGAACATTTGAGGATATACCCGACCCTCATGGAAATGGAAAACATCTATTGTCAGATGCCCTTCGCGCGCTCTGGAGAATTCCTATCCCTAAACCATGTGAAGCCATCGCAGTTCCTTTGTCAGTACGAGACACACTGCTTCGCTTTGTGTCACTGCTGCGAGTTCGACGCGTGTGACTGCGAGATGACTTGTCCTGAGGGCTGTGGCTGCTTCCACGAGCAATCCTGGGGCTCCAACATTGTCGACTGTTCCAGAAACGATCTACAAATAGTACCTGAAAAAATCCCAATGGATGCTTCAGAAGTTTATTTAGACGGCAATGACTTTCGAAATTTATCATCTCACTCTTTCCTGGGACGGAAACATCTACAGATGTTGTACGTTAACGCTTCCAACGTCAAGACGCTGGACAACGGCACGTTCAGTGGCCTCACGCGCCTCATATCTTTGCATCTTGAGGATAATTTCATCGAGGCTCTCAGGGGCCATGAATTCAAAGGACTCGATTTGCTGCGGGAACTCTATTTGCACAACAACCGTTTGAAGTACGTGCATCAACATACATTCGCCATGCTCTCTCATCTCGAAATTTTGTCTCTTCACAACAACCAGCTCATAAATTTCCCCGTCTGGCGGCTGGTCGACAACCCTTATTTGACGAGCGTCTCTTTGCGAGAGAATTTTTGGACGTGTGAGTGTCAGTTTGTTGATTCGTTTGATATTTGGCTCTCAAAAAACGTGCGCAAAGTCGCCGACAGCGACGAAATAAAATGTTTTCCCACTGACCGAGAGTTGGTTGGAGCCTTCATCCTGGATTACAACGCCACCACTTGTACAAATTCCTCCACTACGTCGACTGTCGTACAGCCCATGACGTTCCATAGCTTGCTGCACCCGGTGATTGCGATTTGTGTTGCGTGTGTTTTAGTTGTGGTCTTGCTGATTCTGTTCCTTTACCGGAACACATTGAAAGTGTGGCTTCATTCCCAGTGTGGTTGGCGGGTTTGCCATAGTTCCTCTTCTGATGACCGTGACAAAGTTTACGACGCCTTCGTGTCGTATAGTTCCAAAGACGAGGCTTGGGTGAACCAAGTTCTCGCTGCCGATTTGGAGCACGGTGATCGACCGTATAGAATTTGTTTACATTATCGAGACTTTCCAGTGAACGCCTATATTGGTGAGACCATGGCGGAAGCCGTCGAATCTTCGAGAAGAACCATAATAGTTCTATCGAAAAATTTTATCGAGAACGAGTGGTGTCGATTCCAGTTCAAGAGCGCGCACCACGAAGTTATGAAGAGGAAAAGGAAGCGTCTCATCGTAATCGTATTGGGCGACATTCCATCAAAAGATCTCGATGCAGATCTTCGTTTATATTTAAAAACTAATACGTGCATATATACAGGCGATAAGTTATTTTGGGAGAAGCTTAGGTTTGCGATGCCGGACGCGTGCACGGCGCAGAGGATAGTGCACACCTACAGCACCATCCCTGAGCGGACCAATGGGAGCAAACTAAACGCTAGCAGCCCCTCCACCCTCCAACCTAGTCTCCAAGCTGCTGCAGATGGCACGTACTGGGCATAATTATATGCATAATGCTATTATTATTATAATTATTATTGCTATTATATTGCTATTGATATTTTCTGTTTTTGTATATTATTGTTTTAAGTAGTTAACTAAATGGAGTGTAGCTTCGATGATCTAATGTGCATTTATCTTTATGAAGAAATTGTAAGGAATATTTATGGTTGTCTCGATGTGCGCGAGCAGAACGGATGTATAAGGCGATAGTTATTCTACTTGGCGCGTGTGTGTAGGGGCGTTATTTGTGTGTTATTACGCTTTTTGGTGTCATTTAATCGGAAGGCTGATCTGTTTAACAAATAACTTGCTGTGCGAATTTAATCGTGCTTTCTCAATTTGAACGCGGTAATTTTAAGGAAAAATGTCTGCTGAATCAAAAAATATTTTCGAAATTATTTACTTAGAAATTGTGAAATGTAGATAATTTTGTACAATTTTAAATGGATTATACTTTAGTAATGTACGGGTTTTAAATTTTTAACTCATTTTGTTATTCATTTACGTAACTCTTGTTTTTAAAGAGCCATTTCCACTTTCATGTTGGTCTGTCGAAGCTGTGATATGCATAATTCGTTTGAACTAATTGAAAGGAAGCAATAGTTTGATTGCATGTAACATGAAACATGAGTTGCGGATTTTTTTCGCATTCATCATCATGATACGAATTCATGACCATTCATGATATTAATCTCGACCATTCATGATAGGCATCCTGACTCATAAGTTACACGGTCTTCAATGCTTAAGGTTGTGAACGATAAAAAGGCGGTATTGAATGAATGCTATGCGAATATCTGTTGATTTTAAATTACGGTGTATAAATCATTCAATTTGCCTCAAGTTACAAGCGATTGACATTATAAGCGATTTATTTCTAATCCTGATGGCCATGTGAGTTGAATTTAACGTCATATAAACTGCAGCTGTGCATTGCAGTCACTGCAGCTGTGCATTGCAGTCACTGCAGCTGTGCATTGCAATCACTGCAGCTGTGCATTGCAGTCACTGCAGCTTTCCAGTGCAGCCACCGCAGTTGTACAGTGCAGTAATCGCAACCATACATTGCAGTCAGGGCAGCTGTGCATTCACTGCTGCAGTGAATTATCGTTGCCGATGCAGTGAATTTCTGTAATTGCTGCAGTGAATTGCTGTCACTGCTGCAGTGAATTGCTGTCACTGCTGCAGTGAATTGCTGTCTGTCACTGCTGCTGTGTATTGCTGTCACTGCTGTAGTGGATTGCTGTCACTGCTGCAGTGGATTGCTGTCACTGCTGCAGTGGATTGCTGTCACTGCTGCAGTGGATTGCTGTCACTGCTGCAGTGGATTGCTGTCACTGCTGCAGTGGATTGCTGTCACTGCTGCAGTGGATTGCTGTCACTGCTGCAGTGGATTGCTGTCACTGCTGCAGTGGATTGCTGTCACTGCTGCAGTGGATTGCTGTCACTGCTGCAGTGGATTGCTGTCACTGCTGCAGTGGATTGCTGTCACTGCTGCAGTGGATTGCTGTCACTGCTGCAGTGGATTGCTGTCACTGCTGCAGTGGATTGCTGTCACTGCTGCAGTGGATTGCTGTCACTGCTGCAGTGGATTGCTGTCACTGCTGCAGTGGATTGCTGTCACTGCTGCAGTGGATTGCTGTCACTGCTGCAGTGGATTGCTGTCACTGCTGCAGTGGATTGCTGTCACTGCTGCAGTGGATTGCTGTCACTGCTGCAGTGGATTGCTGTCACTGNAGTCACTGCCTTCACTCACAATTCACTATATATCTATTATCGTAGAGTCTAGCAGGCTTCATCCATTGTACGTACTCATGTTATCTCATCCACGGCCGGCGAACGACTGTCGTGCATGCCAAGTTAATTCTGATGAGTAACACGAGTTACTCATCATATGTATACGTGACAAGTCACGTACCTACATGCATACAAATACAACATGCTCATGAGTAAGCTCCTGAGTATGTATACATATTACGCAAATACTGATATTCTCAAGAGTAACCATCAGCACGCTTGCGAGTGTCTGTTTATTTTATATGTAGATTAATTTTTGTCAGTATTATCACGATTATAACTGATGGATGAATAAGTATGCGAATGATTTGGAATATTTTATGATTAATATTATTGTGAGCGTACAAGCAAATACTCATAGAACAAGAATGTTCTTTATTAACCAAAAGTGATACTGGGTGAGTCAAATGCCGCCGTTACTCGTCATTGTGAGACACTCGTGAAATTGTCTTGATAAGGTTTACTTGTGACTCAAATTTCGTGTACTCATCGAAATAATAATAAATTTTGAGTGATGCATTTTATACTATGTATAGGTTTGATTTTGTACGAACGCTGCCTGCGTATTGTTATTAATTCGAAATTACCCATAATATTTTCGTTTTGTGATCATGGATAAACCTTAGTTGTATGAATCTCATTCAACATTTCGCAATTTATGTTGTAATTCGAACTTAATTTGATAACTGTACAGCAACAGTTCCTCATATCTTTGAACCATTGCTCATGATCTATAATTGTGTGCCAACTTGTACATTGTGATTTCTTCCATGTACTTATGGTGAGCCAGTCACGTCTGATCAGCCATGTAAGCCATGCTTTGTTTCTCACGCCTGCTCTGGGTTGAAGGAACTCATGAAAATGTAGCTCAGCTGGGCAGTTGTCAGCTGTTCCCGGGCAGTGGTTGTCAGCTGGTCCCGGGCAGCAGTTGTCAGCTGGTCCCAGGGGCCAGGCAGCGGTTGTCAGCTGGTCCCGGCAGCGCTTGTCAGCTGGTCCTAGGCAGCGGTTGTCAGTTGGTCCCGGCAGCGGTTGTCCGCTGGTCCCGGACAGCGGTTGTCAACTGGTCCCGGACAGCGGTTGTCAACTGGTCCCGGGCAGCAGTTGTCAGCTGGTCCAGGCAGCGGTTGTCAGCTGGTCCCGGACAGCGGTTGTCAACTGGTCCCGGGCAGCGGTTGTCAGCTGGTCCCGGGCAGCGGTTGTCAGCTGGTCCCGGGCAGCGGTTGTCAGCTGGTCCCGGGCAGCGGTTGTCAGCTGGTCCCGGGCAGCGGCTGTCAGCTGATCTCTGGCAGCGACTGTCAGCTGATCTCTGGCAGCGACTGTCAGCTGATCTCTGGCAGCGACTGTCAGCTGATCTCTGGCAGCGACTGTCAGCTGATCTCTGGCAGCGACTGTCAGCTGATCTCTGGCAGCGACTGTCAGCTGATCTCTGGCAGCGACTGTCAGCTGATCTCTGGCAGCGACTGTCAGCTGATCTCTGGCAGCGACTGTCAGCTGATCTCTGGCAGCGGTTGTCAGTTGGTCCCGGCAGCGGTTGTCAGCTGGTCCCGGCAGCGGCTGTCAGATGGTTATGTTTCACCATTAAATAGATTTGATCGCTCACAGTCGATTGCTCGAATTTATATCGTCATTCAAAAGCGTTCGATAATTTAAATAGGTTTCATTGTTAAACTTGGTTAGATTTTAGCCATTTAATTACATCCAAAACAAAAGAATTGTTTTGACTATCATATTTATGTCCATGAGGTTCGTGTGTTATAATTGGTAGATGTCTTTAATCTCTTTGGTTCAGTAGATTCTATTCATTTATTGTATTAGATGGTTAACCATTATAAATACGCTCTGTGTCTGTAACGTTTTATTCATTACAATGATTACCGATGACAACGATGATGCTTATGATGAAATTAATACTGTAGCCTGGTTGCAATATGACGGATTCAATTTTAATTTTTCGATCTATTTTCTATTACTGATTTCTGTGTAGTTTTTTATGACCTAAATTGTATACTAAGAAATCTCTTTTTGGAAGCAAAATTCTTGTTTCTTTGTAACTTTTTTCGGTAATTCAGAAATTTTTGAGTAATAGAACACCAGGAATTAATTTAAATGTTTTGTTGTATTTTGTTTAATCACTTATTGAATGATTTGCTGGAGAAGATCGAGTTATTCATGTACGCAGTGAGTATTTTACAAACCATTATAATCTACGGTATTGTTTATAATTGCACAATATTGAATGTGTTACCTTAATAATTGTGAATTATTCGGCGGTTTGTATTGAATCTTTGCTTAACGATCTACTCATCTAACGACATACTCATCGTCTAACGAATTTACTCACTGTGTTATTCCTAAATGTATTTTTCAGTGTAATTTGCAGCTATATTGAACTGTACAAGCTTTATCACCAATAGGTTTACGTGCATCTCCCTACGGGACGAAATTCTTTGTTGATAAACAATGTTAAGGGAAATTTATAGGCGGATTATCGGCGGCCAGACACGTTCAAGTGTCGGCCACCGATGATAATATCTAAATTTTTAATGTGTTCAATCTAATGAGAATTTTGTTATTATATATATTTTTGTCAAAGAATTCTTTCTTTGTCAAGCAAGTGATTTTTTCAAACGCGATTATTCATTAATGCTGACTGTTTTTTATCGTACGCGGTTGCTGCTTAGATTTCTATTATATACATCAATATCTGACGATTGCGTTCATAACTTTTACAACATTTTATTATTTTCTAATCGTTCATTCTTTGCAGTTAAACTTCCTCATGATGATCCCGATTATTTATTTTCCAACTGAGAATTAAGATTTAACTTGAATCCAATTCTCTTCACATTCACTCAAACAAAAAACACCCGTCCTACAAATTTTTGAGTAAATGTACTTCTAAATTTTTTTGTATGTTATTTGAAAGTTTCTATTCGACACAAAAGAAAATAACAATTGTACTAGAAATATTGATAATAACTGCAGCTGTAAATTGATGCAGCTGCAGCTGATATATCGCGCAGCTGTTGGTCGCCTCGCACTGACTTGCATTAAAACTTCAGTACGATGAATTTCCAATAATTTCAATAATTTAATTTATTTATTATCATTAAAATTTCGTCTGTGGTTTCAGTTGCTTCAGATTTTGCCTGTCTCAGCCAAAGGCAGATTTTATTTTAAATAAATTACAATTTTGGACTTCATCGCTGAACTGAGCTTTACGCAACTTATATACTAATTTTATTGTTAAACTTCAGCATTGAATTTTGTGATTGAATTTCTAGAGAGGAAAGTTGATAAAAAAAAGTGTGAGCGCGACTGCCAGATGCACGACGCGTTCCTGTGCGGTGATCAACTCCTTTGATAAAATCATCGCCGGCTTTTCGGCGGCCAGTATGATGTCAAATTAAGTGCATTTCGCCATAGAAACTTGACGGCATTTTCAGCATGGCTTTTTTTTAGAAAACCCGCCAATAAATTTATATTATTGTTACCCTATTTAATCTGAAGGCATATTTGCGACGTGAAATGCATGGCCGACGATAACCCGACCATGATTTTGTTCAGCTTCACCGTCGTGTCTGTGATAGCCTCATAG